CCTCAAGGTGGGCCCTGGTGATCTTAATGGGCCAGGCCTGCGCGAGGGGTGAATCGCGCAGGGCCAGAAGGACTGTCCTCGAGTATGTTAATATGTCCACGATCAAAAGCAGGAAGGAAGGGGGGGAGGGCAAAGATGTTCAGTCTCGGCCGCACCCAAGAGTCTGGCCTCGGGAATAGTTCTTGAGCCTTAAGTCTTACAAATATTACAAATGCGCAGTATTATTCCATGGGAAAGAAACCTAAAACATACTTTCAAAGTTAAGCATCAGTTTAATGTTGGGGAAGGATGTGCTGTGGATCTGAGATCGTACGTGGCTACTTCTCACCTGGTGCTGTTATGGTCGTCCTCCAGACTCTGTTCTTCATCAGAGGTTAGCGGGGAGTAATGGATGCCATTGGTCTGAATTAGAGGCTTCTCCTTTTTCAGCACAGGTGGCTGATCATTGTCCTGGTATGGAATAGGAGAATTCTTCAGGGAATTTTCAGGGGAAGAAATGGCTGTTATTTCTAAAGGCTGGTTAATGTTACTGACCTGAGGAGGGAAGACAAAAACAAAACATTTAAGGATTGAAAAAAAGGCAAGGAACAGGAAGAAAGAGCTAACTGTGTTTCTAGGGATTTTGCTTTGAAAGACAGCGTTGCTCAGCTTTGGGGAAGAGAAACAGGCAGAAAGTTATTACAAGTAGTCCTCGGCTTAGGATCATTCACTTCGTGACCATTAAAGTTATGACAGTGCTGAAAAAAATGACTTACGAGTGTTCCTCACACATATAATTGTCAATACATTCCACAGTCCTGTAATTGCAGTCCGGGTGCTTGACAATAGCAATAGCACTTAGACTTATATACCGCTTCATAGTGTATTACAGTCCTCTCTAGGCAGTTTACAGAGTCAGCCTATTGCCCCCCCGTAACAATCTGGGCCCTCATTTTACCGACCTCTGAAAGATGGAAGGCTGAGTCAACCTTGTGCCAGTCAGAATCAAATTCCTGGCAGTGAACAGTGAATTAGCCTGCAATACTGCGCCACCATGGCTCCTGCCAACCAGCCTGCATTTCCAACAGTTGCAGTATCCCTGCAGCCACGTAATTGCCAACAGTTGCAGTATCCCTGCAGCTCGTAACCTCCTCATCTGGGCTTCCAACAAGTGAAGTTTTATGGGAAAGCTGGCAGGAGGTTGCAAGTTGCAGTGACATGATGTCTTGCTTAACGACTGCAGGTGATCTGCTTAATGATCACGGCAAAAAAGGATCACAAATTGGTTGCAGTCACGTGATGTCTCACTTCTAAATGACAAATTTTATGGTCCCTATTGTGATCATAAATCGAGGACTACCCATATATTGATTACAAAACATTTACTGTATATACATAGTGCTATTATGTAGTAACAGAGTTACACAGATGGGGTAAAGGGACTCAGATATATAAAACTCCCAAATTTGCATTTGAAAGTCTTTTGGAAAATGCACAGAGAAACAGGAATAAAGATTTACCAACAATTAATTAGCATGACAGTAATGTTAAACAGTAATTTTTTAATTCCTAGAATTCCATAGTCAATGTAGGGCAGGGGTAGGCAACCTTGGCTCTTTTATGACTCGTGGACTTCAACTCCCAGAATTCCTGAGCCAGCATGGCTCAGCTTAGAAACCTCTCCCTTTCCCCTCAGCATGGCTGGCTCAGGAATTCTGGGAGTTGAAGTCCACGAGTCATAAAAGAGCCAAGGTTGCCTATCCCTGGTGTAGGGCAATGATGAAGCAAGTGTTGAAAAACAAGATCCTCACCTTTTGTACGTACAGGGTCAGAGTGTCACAACTTCACAACTTCATTTTATCATTCTAACAAACCACTAGATTCTGCAGGTTTCTTCCTGCAGCTCTTCAAAAATTTAGGTGGATGAAATGCAACCCCCAACCCTTGAAACATGGCTCAATCCCTCTCATATGTCAAATCTTTTTCTGGACATGTTTTTCCTTTCTAGAACGAGAAGTGTCAACTCCGTTGTCCAATCACATATCTATAATAAGCATTCAGGCCTAAATAAAAATGATCTCATGAGCTATCTGCTGGCTGGCCCAACTTTAATTCACTGGCTCCCATGTTTCTATGAAGTAATTTTAGTCCTAATCAGCTTCTTACCCATCTCTATAAAATCTTTCTTTAAACTAGGGGTGGGCAACTATGGCCCCTTTACAACCTACGGACTTCAATTTCCAGAAGTTCACAGGTCTTGAGGGGCCATAGTTGCCCATTCCTGCATTACAATGCAACCCGCAACAGTTTACAATTCTTTAGCAGGGCTTTTCAACCAGTGGTACGGGTACCACCTGTGGTACATTGGCACCTGGCAGGTGGTACGCGAACATCCTAGAAAAGTGGTAGCAGGGGAGGGGAATGAGCTGAACCGGTGGCAGCACTGCACAAGCCTGAGCGAGAGATGGCTGGAGCTGCAGGGCTGTCAGGGCTCAGCGGAAGCGCCAGGATCAGTGCCAGGCCCCAGCTGGAGCTCAGCACTGATCCTGGTGCTTCTGCTGAGCCCTGAAGAAGCACCAATCAGCTGGAGCTCAGCACTGATCCTGGTGCTTCTGCTGAGCCCAGAAGAAGCGCCGATCAGCTGGAAAGTTGCAGCATCTCCAGGGTCTTGCGATTTACATTCAGATGCTTGGCAACTGATTCATATTTATGACGGTCACAGTGTCCCAGGGTCATGTGAAGTGACCAAAACCTTCTGCAACCACCCAGCAGACGGGGGGAATAAAAACCAAACACCCCCCCCACCCCACCCCCGCTGCCAATCCTCAACAGAAATGCTCACAACAATGGAAACCTCGGACAGGAGGAAGAGCCCCACCGGGTGGGCAGGCAGGTGTCTTGCTTGGCTGTGGCTCGGGGGGCACTTTTTTCAGTGCCATTGTAACTTCGAACAGTCACTAAGCGAACTGTTGTAAGTCGAAGACTACCTGTACTTTATCACTTTTTTCCTTTTTTTTTTGTTTTTGGGTCGTCAAGTTTTTGACACCTTGCTAGGCGACTAGTGGTACTCGGATGTTGTCATGTCCTAAAAGTGGTACAATGGGTGAAAAGGCTGAAAAGCCCTGGTATAGGGAAGGGTGGGAAATCTGTGCCATGCCAGCAGGGTTTGATAGGATGAATAACTTGCCCAAGATTTAGGAACCTGTGCCATAGGAGTCAAACTCAGCTGAGAGGGCCTTTGATTTTAGATTATAAAACCTTAAGGAAGAACCCAACCTATCACATCTCTCTCTCTCTACGGGAGAAAGTGAGCGCTATTCCTTGCCTCCTCCTATGCATACAGAACAGCAACTTATTTTCATTCACAGTTAGGAGGGCAAAATTCATGCACAGAATTACAAGAAACACTAAGGAGACTGTTCAAAACAGGACTTTCCCAAACTTTTTATAGCTCCCTCATGAACAGATCCTCAAAGGCAGTGGTTCTCAACCTTTTTAATGCCGCGACCCCCAACCGATCGTAAGTCGAGGACTAAACTGGTCGTAAGTCGAGGACTAAACCGGTCGTAAGTCGAGGACTTTCCCTGCCCGGGAGCGCCGCGCATGCGTGGTTCCGCCCCCTGCACCGGCTGAGGTGTAGCTGGCAAGCGGCAGAGACGGAGCAGGCCGACCACCAGCTGGCCCAGCTCAAGGGAGGTAAGGCACCCGCCGGAAAAGGGAAAAAAAATGGCGGACAGCCTTGCTTGGCGACCCCTGTGAAATGGTCGATCAACCCCAAATGGGGTCGCGACCCATAGGTTGAGAACCGCTGCTCAAAGGGAACTATACAATTACCTTTGGCGCATGATAAAACAGTATGCATGCTATTTATCCAGCTATTCAAATGCAGGTAGCCCTCAATTTACGACCACAAACTGAGCCCAAATGTTCTGTGGCTAACCGAGACAAGTGTTAAGTGAGTTTTGATCCATCTTACAACCTTCCTTGCAATAATTGTTAACTCAATCGCTGTGGTTGACAAGTTAGTAACCCAGTTGTTAAATGAATCTGGTTTCCCCCGCTGACTTCGCTTGTCAGAAGGCTGCAAAAGGGAATCACGTGACCCCAGGACACTGCAATCGTCACAAATATGAATCGGTTGCCAAGCATCTGAATTTTTATCACGTGACCCTGGGAAGACGGCCAACAGTTGTCAGCGTGAATAACGGTCATAAGTCACTTTTTCAGTGACGTTATAACTTGAACGGTCACTAAATGAACTGTTTTAAGTCAAGGACTACCTGTCATTTCCAAAAGATCTATGAAATGGTCTACGAAAAATTCCACTGACCATCGTTCAGGAAACAGTTTCTAATTATATTGGAAGCTACCTTAAGCCAAGTAGGCTATATATGTTTATCAAGCTCAGCATCATTTCCCATGATAAACATTCTTCTGGGGCTGAAGCAGGTTTGAACTTTCCAACGGCAGGCCCAAGGGATTCAGCTTATGCAAGTTTGAAAATTGTTTTTAATTATGTTTTCATATAATTTTGTAATCATCGATCAAATTAAAAAAAAAAAGGATTGACTGATGCTGGGATTTAACCTAGAATCTTCTATTAACAAAACAAATCAGTCAATAACCTAACATCCATATTCAAAATATTTTTTTTTACCCGTGGTCCTCTGTTAAGGCCTCTCACTTATTTTAGGTGGGCAAAATGATCTGGTCTTAAAACTGCAGAGCTCAAACCTTGATTCTCACCATGGAGTTGATGTTAAGGGGGGATCCAGAAGGCTGAGCAAAGAGCCCAGCCATGGGGGGCAATGATTTGCGTTTGGGTGACACCCCGGAGTTCACGCACGGCGTTCCTGTGGAGGACCGCTTCCTCCGACCACGCTTCTTTCCATCTTGCATGTAGGCCTGGCCACAATCTGCCCGGATACTTGCGGTGAGGGGGCTGTGCTTGTTCGACGGAGAATGTTTGAGGGTTCCTGTAGCAGGGGAGATGGTGAAGATGATCCTTCGTTTGCTCTCGCTCTCAGGGTCAGAAAAGGCAGGGTCGAATGGGGGGTCTCCTCTGGCGTTTTCGGCAAACATCTTTTGAGTCTCTATGTACTGCAGTACCCCTCCCAGGCTCTGGGTGATGCCGTTCAACCTAGGGCTCGCGGAATGCTGGTGTGCAGGTGAGTTTTGCCCAGAATTCCGCGAAGACGACGTAAGCAAGGAGGGATGCTGTGGAGTAGAGCTTCGAGACCCCGTGGAGTTGAACAAGCTTCCCGAACTGGATACCTCCTCCATAGCTGCACTGTCAGCAGCCGGGTTCAATGGGCTATTTGGAACAGTCCCACCGACTGGTGCAGAGCCAGACATGTAAGAAAAACCTGTGGAATGTGGAATGAAGACAATTAGATATCAAGAGGAATCAGTTAATTGGTTTGGCCATTTTGTTTATTTATTAAATATATATGCTGCCCATCCCTCCGATAACTTTGGACAGCTTAAAAATCGTAGAAAGATACATAGAAAAGCAATTAGCAATTTAAAACTATGTAAATTAAAAACATTTAAACTATGCAAATTAAAATTTTAAAACGATGCATAAGAGGGGAGATGGGTGGCATAAAAATTGAATAAATAAAATAAATGCATATAGGCTGCTCTGTAAATTAAGATCTTCCACAGAGGTTCTTTACAGATATTCCTGGCATTAGAGTTCATCAGAGGCTAACTAAATAGCTGGAGAAATAGCTTTCTTCACACTATTTACAAAGAAAAAGGGTTGACTAGATGACCTCCAAGGTCCCTTCCAACTTTACTATTACTACTACTACTACTACTACTACTACTACTACTACTACTACTATTATTATTATTAAAAAGAGGCATTCTCTCCAAAGTGAATCAACTGATCCTTACACTTGTCATTTGGTTCTTCCTCCATGTTTCAAAACATAGAGTCAAAACAGACTACTAAATCCAATCTCTTGCTCAATGTAATAATCCAATTTTAAAAATCCTCAATAAATAGTTAAATAGCCTCCATGTGAAGATAGCCAGTGAAGAAAAACCAAACGTATCTCTGGGTAATTGTTTCTTACTTTCAAATTGTTCTTTTTGTTAGAGCAAAGCTAACATTCAAATGGAATCAGTCTTCCTGCAGTTTAATAAATTCAATAGCCCAAATCCTGAATTCTGGAATAAGAGATGATACGCCTTGCCTTTCTTCAGTATAACAGTCAGTCCAAACTTCTCTTAAAGGAACAGGTTCAAAATAAATCAATGAGGTGAATAAGGGGGCTAAAAACCAGGACATCCAAAAAGTATGAAGGAACTAGAAATGCTTAGATTTGAGAAGACTAAACAGTATAGGATACCATATTCCGAGGTCTTTTGTGTGAATGGGTATTACTTTGAATACTGCCAATGAGCTTCTTACCAATTTATCTCTGGAATCAATTAACCAGACTGGAGGTGGATTCATCTTCACTAGCTATATATAAGTGGAAGTGGATTTGAATTCATGTATTAAGAAATAGACTCTGTCTGCCCCTTCAAACTCTCTGATTCTGTGATACAATTGCCCAACGCTCCTGAGCATTTCCTATTGCTTTCACCTTTTTTCATTTTTTCATTTCCACGGAAAAATATTAAGGAGGAAACAACGAAATAAATTCTTTGACTGACAGCACCACCTGTCTGAAATCACCACAGACTTTGACTCAAACCAAGAGACATTGCTTAACTTGGTCAGAACCTAAACGTTGAATTCTAGTTCCAAGCTTTAATAATTTATTCCTCAATAAACAAAGGAACAAATATAACATTTATGATTCATTTGTTTACTTGGGATGTCTCGATCTAATTTTAGGATGGGTGGAAAACAGACCGCGTTTTGTTCATATTTATGCAGAAATGTTGAACATTCACAAAACGTTTAAGCATCGCTGCACCTGGTTCGCACGCACGCGCATTTTAAACTCTGAGCAGCTGACACACTCAAACACACCTACTGTCAGTTGGAAAACAGCAGTGGGCAAGGAAGGAGCTCACCTGAGGTAGCCAAGGTCAGTGGCTTGTTACCAGCAGCAGTGCTAATGCTGTTATGAGAACTAGCACCAAATTGTTTTTCAAGTGTTGAAAAGGAATCTCGGTTCTGATGGACAGGGCTAGGTGTGCTTCTCTGGAAGAAGAAAGGGAGAAAAAGGAGACGGTTGGAAAAGGAAGCACAATAAAATTAATTTGGGTTAAAACAAGTACTTTTTAAAATTACTGCTTTTCTGTTAAGGTTAGACTGCTGGTAAGTAGTCGTCAGAAAGGAAGTAAAATACAGTTACATTTAGAACTCTATTTTTCCAGGAGGAACCATTTTTCTCTGCAGATGACAGCAGCGGTTTTAAACTGTGTCAAACTATTTATCCATCCCAGTTGTCTACACTGCTTAGCAGTCATTCTCTGCCCATCAACCATGACCTCACATTGTAACCCAGTGATGGCAAACCTTTTAGAGACCAAGTGCCCAAAAACCGGCTCCACCCCCACGCCGCCCCCCACCCCGCTCCACCTCCTGCTCTGCCCACCCGCAGGGCCACCCACCGACTCCACAGCCCACCGATCGCCCAGGTGCCCCAGCCATGGCAGCTACATCCTCCACCCGCGCCCCGCAGCATCAACTGCATGCGACGGGGTGCGAGGGCGGAGTCTTGTCCCCACTGCTCGGCTGAGCTACTCTGTGCAGGCCGCACTCAGGGGCGACTCTCCTCTGTGCGGGCCGCGCTCAGGGGCTGATGATAATGAGGGGGCTGCGGGGGGAGGCGGGGCTGAAGCGATGGTGCACGTGCCCTCAGAGAGGGCTCTGAGTGCCACCTCTGGCATGCGTGCCATAGGTTCGCCACCACTGTTCTAACCCATGGATTATATGTGCTCACATCTCTTTTCGAAGCCCTCAGAGACCCTCTAACTGTGAGAGCCACAAACTAATGGCATGGCTTCCCACCAGGCTGTCTACACATACATGCTAGAGCAGGGGTCTTCAAACCTGGACCTTTTATGACGTGTGGACTTCAACTCCCAGAATTCCTCAGCCAGGCACGCTGGCTGAGGAATTCTGGGAGTTGAAGTCCACAAGTCATAAAAGGGCCAAGTTTGAAGACCTCTGTGCTAGTGTGTCAGGCCTTAATAGCAATGACATAATTTAAGAAGCAAAACCAAACTGTGAAAAACATGGAAAAATCAGGCTCTGGCCATGTGTGATGCAGTCCGCTCACTATAAAATATTGCTCCATGCGCTGCTGTCCTCAGTCTCCACAAAAATTTTAAATGCAATCCAGAGCCACTAAAGGATTGTTTATCCTCTTCCTAGCCACTGAGGTCAAGACTGAAGCTGGGATGTCCTATATGCAAAATCTGTGCTCAGTCATTCGGCTACAGCTGTTTTATCTGGGGAAAATAATGTTCTACACAATCCATATCAACCACAGGGTTATTTTGATTCACATACCAAATATTTAAACTAGCCTTTATTCAAGTAGTTACTTTTTAACAGCTTGACAATCTCAATAACAAAACCAGAAGCTAGAACAAAGCTGCTCAAGGTAGCTTAAGGACTGAACACAGATTTAACAATCTCCTCTTAGCACATGCATAGAAAGTTAATAGATATACTGAACAAATGAGGGCTGTAAGAGTTATTTTAAAAAGCAAAAAGGTGTAATTACTTAGGAATCAGTATCGTGTATAAAATTTAAAAAGATTTTAGAAATGGCTTAGTAAGTTCAGTTAAGAGACAACAAGAAACAGAACTATATGGTCTAGTCCAGGGGTAGGCAACCTTGGCTCTTTTATGACTCGTGGACTTCAACTCCCAGAATTCCTGAGCCAGCATGGCTGGCTCAGGAATTCTGGGAGTTGAAGTCCACGAGTCATAAAAGAGCCAAGGTTGCCTACCCTTGGTCTAGTCAGTGGTTAAGGCACCAGTCCAGAAACTGGGAGACTGTGGGTTCTAGTTCTGCGTTAGGGATGAGAGTGGCTGGGTGACTTTGGGCCAGTCGCTCTCTCTTAGCCCAACCCACCACATAACATAGTTGTGGGGAAAACAGGAGAAAAGAATATTAGGTATATTTGCCACCTTGAATTATTTTATACAAATAATAAAAGCAGACTAAAATAGATAAATAAAGTACCCGAGGGAAGCATGCTCCATTACCTTCCACCACACTTAATTAATGCTATAAATTCATTCTAACATGGTATAATTGGCTTTACGGCACAGATTATGGGAGAAAACAAAGTACCCTTACTCACCACCTTCTCAACACGGCTAGGAAGGACTACGCTGGCCAAAGGAATGCTAACAGGGAGTTTATTGGGCTGCACTGTGCTGAGGGGGATACTGATGGGAAGGCTGGTGATCGTCTCCCCATTATTCGCAGACGTCCTCTCGCGCAAAGCCTGCAAACACACAAAGCAGACAATGCCAAAAATGCAGCTTGCGTCATCAGCCAGCGCTTCTGGGCCATGGCTGCAGGCCCGAGTACTTGGTGCAAGGAGGCGTTCTGAAAAATTGCAAGCATTTTTTCCCCATCCGTCAAACAAAAAAAATGTTCCTACAGATGCAGACAAGGTCAATTGCATCAGCCAGCCAACATAGACACGCACACCACACAAAACAGTTCATGTTTTACTTAATGATCTAATAGGGAAATATAACCACAACGATGCCTCTCGCCCAACTAAAACACTTACCGTGCCAAGTATTTATACTTAGCAGCTGTGTTTGGGATTGCTATGGTGTATGAGGAAATATTTCCATAACCTTGTGTCACTATGGCAAAGTTTGTATAGTAAATTTACAACACAACAGCTAAGTCATATTGCACAATAGATCGTTCACCTTTTCTCCAAACTGATGCCCTTTAGTTGGGATCACAACCCCATTGGCTTTACCAACTGGGAATTACAGAATTGTACTTCTAACATCACTAGAGGGATCCAGGCTGTGGAAGTCTGAGCAAGATATTATTGATTGCTGATTGAATAATAACAATAACACACATGCAGTGCAGAACACAATTCTACCTCTAATTAGGGCACAAGGAGTGAGAATCTAAGTCTGAAGAATACTCCCTACCTTCCATGGTTTACTCTAGAGCAGGGGTAGGCAACCTTGGCTCTTTTATGACTCGTGGACTTCAACTCCCAGAATTCCTGAGCCAGCCATGCTGAGGGGAAAGGGAGAGGTTTCCAAGCTGAGCCATGCTGGCTCAGGAATTCTGGGAGTTGAAGTCCATGAGTCATAAAAGAGCCCAGGTTGCCTACCCCTGGTCTACCCATAAGGTAACCATATATACATACAGGATATAAACATAGCAGTCTCTTAGGGCTGCACATGGTTTGAAAACGATTTCCTCCTTCTGCAGACACAAACACAGCACTTCTTTTCTGCTTTTTAAAGAAGTCTAACTATTTTTTTTTAATTATTTTATTTTATTTTGGCTTCTGGGCAAGCCTGAAAAAAAAGATGCTAATGTTTTTAGGAATCCACTTATTAGCATTAAGGAAACTCTTATATCTGCACTTTCAAGAATTCTGTGGTGCAGTTTGCAATTAAAAAAAGATAAGGTACAGTGTATGTCATTTACAAAAAAAGGTTTCTTGAGAATACACTATTATTACAAAAAATAATTTGCAAACGCTAGTGTAATAGGGAATAGCATGCATTTGAAAAAATGCAAAGAGAGTTTGAAAAAAAGGATTTGTCAACCAATAAGAACACAAGAGGGAATAACATTATAGTCCAAAATGAAGAAATTATTAGAATTAGAAAAGAGCAAGTCTGTTAGGTCTATGTATGATTACCTGCAAAACCAGACCCAACAATGAATGGCAAACTTGGTTTTAAGGCAGGGGTGTCAAACTCGCAACGTCATGCGACGTGTCGCGACGTATTGTGACTTTGTTGCCATTGCTGGCAATGGGGTGGGTGCAGTTTCGCTATGATGCATCCGCCCTGCGGGCCAGCAGTTTAACACCCCTGTTTCAAGGGAATTCAGATTGCCACTGATGTGAATTATGGTCAAGAAAATGCAATCATTTCATGTTGTAATTCGCTCAGTTGCTTGATAACAAGATGCATGGTGTATACATTGAATAATAAATTCGATGTATAAATTGAATTTATACATTCAAACAAATAAATTCCGGGATGGCAGACTTATAGTTCGAACGCTGTCAGATAAATGCAAGTGAAGGATGCTGGGAGGTATAATTCATCAACTAATGGAGGAATTGGTTCCTTGGCTATACTATGATTAAAGGAAACCATGGAAGGGACGGGAACTAGATTTGGTATCATGCTGCCCATCACACAGCTGTGCTTTGGAGTTCAGGAATTTAGCTGCACCTGTTTCTACAACAGAGCATCTGATTAAAAATAGTTATGCAATCATGTTTACTTTAATTTGCAAACAAATTAAGCCTCATTTTTTAATCAAGCCTGATTACAATAAGGTACTCGGTTATGAAGCCCATTTAAACTTGAAGGAGAGGCACACCTCATCGACAATAAACATTGTGCAGATTCTTCAAACATAATTAAGCACAAGACAAATGTATTTCACATTAAGATCTTTAAATATTGGGACTTTAATCTGATCTTTTTACATTTTTTCTCCATCTCATTTTGGCTAGGAACAAAATACTGATCAGACTTGCACAGAACTTAGGTCCAAGAGACTTGGTTTAACTAAGTATTATAAATTTAATAAAGGTGTTTGTTGCACACAATCTATTTGGTCCCAAATTGTATCTAAACCTGAAATTATTAATATAATTAGGCTGTAATTATAAAATTTTAGTTGGGATGAATGTAATCATGATATCAGCTTGAGACATGATGCAACGTTTTCTTCCTTCTCACTGCTATCCCTCCCACACTATTTACTTCATAAGAAGAGTAAACAGCTACAGTACTTGCGTCAATGCACTCTTCATAATCTGATTTATTTCTAATTGAGTGTTATTCATAAATATAGTTACAGAAGTATTTGTGTTACTTCAAGATGCTCCAAATAGTCCTCAACTTACAACTGTAATGGAACCTGACCATTATGGTCATAAATCTTGATGGTGGTAAAGCAGGTCACCTTTGCGACTGACCCTATTTTGTGGTGGTCCCTAAGCAAACACGGTGGTCATAAAGCATATCCATTGTTCTCTATGGAGTATTTTTGTGAGAAACCAGAAGTAAATGCTGGTTTTCAGCAAAACTATTGTAAAATGCAATTACGTGATCATGGGATGCTGCAAAGGCTGTAAATGCAGGCCGGTTGCCGAATGTCTGACATGCATTCATGTGACTATGGGGAGGGGGCTCTCAGAACTTTGGAACTGGGTCCTAAGTACCTTTCTGAGAGTCCACTGTAACTTCAAACAGTCCTAAGCGACCAGCCGTAAGTCACAGGCTACCTGCATCCAGTTTTTCTACCTTCATTACTCAGTGTTTTTCTCTGCACCCCATAAATGTACAACACTAATGTTAATTTTCAAGCCCCAGGAGGCTACCAATTTACAGCAAAAACTACCCATTCCGTCGCTGCTGCTCAGTATAAGAACTACCCCAAGAGGTTCAGAGGCATCATCCTACAATTCCTTACCTTTTCATTCCCAGCTGGGAAGGCTGCTGGGGAAGAGGGTCTGTCTTCCAGAGGGCTCATCTTCATGCCGTTTGATGCTGAAGGGCTTTGAAATGGAAGGCCATTTTCTTTTAAATGTTCAGCTCTGAAACATAAAAAAGGAAAGCTTTTGAAGGCTTCCATTTTGTTAAAAACAACGATTTCGAGGTGCATTCTACAGTGAGAAAGAAATGCAGAGGAAGGCCCTTTCACGTGTCAGAAAGATAGGCTTCTGATAGCTTGGCTATCTTCAAAAAGACCTATCTTTCAGATCTTAGTGGATTTTTAAGAAAAGGAATGGTTCATTAGATAACATTTGATACATCAGATAGTAGAACTGTTGTGCCTTTTGCAAATTGAAAAAACACTGCAGGCTCCATCCCAGACCAACAGTTATCTATGCACAAAATGGCTGCTAAAGAAGAGATGGGGGGAGGGAGGAATGAGGTATAACTAATTTCAAAGAATGCTGTCAGTCACCCTCTCTCTCTTATATCCACAGAATGCTTTCTGGTTCTCCTGCTGATTATTGAGTACAGCATGTAAGCATGTTTTCCACAAAGAATTAGAATGCAGCTTCCCTCTAAACACAGAGGCATTCTTGATAATAAAAGTGAGTCTGGAGGGTACAGCTCTGATTTGCCATGTGCCAACTTCCCACATTCTTTTAGTTTCTTCATTCAAGCATTCAATTAAAGGTAGCACCCACGAACAGAGTATCCATCCTGCACAGCTATCCAGATTGCCACTGTTACCCCAAAGGTAAATTCCAATCCTAGAGCGTATATATGGTTCATGGTTGTAGTATTGAGAAAGCCAACTTGGTGTAATGCAGGGGTAGGCAACCTTAGTTCTTTTATGATTCGTGGACTTCAACTCCCAGAATTCCTGAGCCAGCATGGCTCAGCTTGGAAACCTCTCCCTTTCCCCTCAGCAAGGCTGGCTCAGGAATTCTGGGAGTTGAAGTCCACGAGTCATGAAAGAGCCAAGGTTGCCTACCCCTGGTGTAATGGTTAAGGTGCAGGCTTGGAAACCAGGAAACTGTGAGTTCTAGTCCCACCTTAAGACAGGAAACCTAGCTGGGTGACCATGGACCAATCACTCTCTCTCAGCCCAACTCACCTCATAGGGTTGTCATTGTGGGGAAAATAGAAGGGGAAAAGAGTCTGTTCAGCGCTTTGAGTTACTTATGAAGTAATAAAGGCAAAATAAAAAGTCAAATAATAAATTCTTGCTGTTCTCTGGGTTTCTTTATTTATTTTCAATCTTACTTTGCTTGTTTTTCTGCAGATGTTTCATTACCACTAACATGATCACTGCATGGGAAAGCGAAGTTTATTAGTTAGTTATATACAGTAATTGGCGCCTATTCCACGCATGAAAGACAGCTAGAAAATTGGCAGAATGCATTCATAAACATCAACTGGCAATCAGAAGACATGAAAATTCCATCATCTCTTAACACAGACAAATTTGGCCACAGTTTCAACTGGGGAACTGCTGGCATTTTATATCAAGACAAATTAAAAAATCCTAGGGAATTCTTGGAAGCTTGGCATTCTGACAAAACGGCCATCAACAAACACATAAACCATTCATACATACCACTGAAAAGACACAACCAAAAGTTAAGGAAGGAACCAACCTCCCTCCCCCCACATCCTTCCTAGCAACTGACACTCAGATAAGCGGGAAACAGCACCAGATAAATAATCAGGGAAGAAATAATGTATTAGTCCAGGAACTTTCAAAGAAGAAACCACATCCTAACCAAGATTGGCAGGGCAAGCTACTATATATTAACAACCAGCAAGCTTCACTCTTCCTTGCATTGTCAAAATATCTGCAGGAAAACAATCCAGCTCAGAAAACATCAAGAACCCAACAAGTATTTTCCAATTCCCCTCCAAAGTGACTGAACCAAGGCAGATTGTTGGAACAAACTGAATTGAAACATTGGAGATAATATAAATGCATACCTTCAAAGCCTCAATTGGTTCATAGCAGGCAGCACCAGAATTAGGGAGGCGTGTGTTCCCTTTTTCATGCACCTAAGCAAACTGTCATTTGAACCAGGACGTACAGGAAGTCCTTGCCTTACAGCAGTTCATTTAGTGACCGTTCGAAGTTACAACAGAACTGAAAACAGTGACTTACGACCATTTTTGACACTTACAACCATTGCAGCATCCCCATGGTCACGTGATCAAAATTCAGACGCTTGGCAACTGACTCATATTTATGACAGTTGCAGTGTCCTGGGATGGGGTCATGTGATCACGTTTTGCAACCTTCTGACAAGCAAAGAAAATGGGGAAGCCGGATTCACTTAACAACCATGTTACTAACTTAACAGCTGCAATGATTCACTTAACTACTATGACAAGAAAAGCTGTAAAATGGGGCAAAATTCACTTAACGACTGTTTCACATAGCAACAAAAATTTTGGGTTGAATGCTGGTCGTAAGTCAAGGACTACCTGCAGTGATCATTCAGTCAAGGTCACCACCTAGGAAGAAACACATGACCTAACCACTCTGCTCCTCACCTCTGATGGCTCTCACTGGGTGCTGTTTTCCCACTGCCTATGTGGTCTTGGTTCAAATGCCTCCGGAGGGCGATCTTAGCCGGAGAAAACCTGGTATAATCTGGCAGGGATAAGTTTGAGCCTTTGTCCAGCTTCTGTCTGCAGCTATGGATTGGGGTGCAAGGAATTATGTCTTGGTCCACGTGGACAGGTGGGTATTGAGGCGTAGTCTGTTTAGAAGCTGGTCGGCTGAGTGCATTGTGAATTTCGTAAGACGTGGCATGGCCATTTATGGACAGTTCGGGGCCGTTGACCTGGGGCACGGGAAACTTGGGGCACTCTAGCTCCAAGTGAAGTGTATTGTGGTCAGGCTCGGCCTCCCGGTTCAAATGGTTTTTATGGCGCGGCTGGGCTGGCAACGATTCGTCAGAGGGCATGTAGGATTTCAGCTGCAAAAGCTCCTGCTGCCTCTGGCTTTTCTCAAGCTCCACTATGCTGATCTTTAAAATGATAGGAGAAAAAAGAACATCGTTAAAGCTTATTATCGTTAAGTATCTATGGAGATTCTCAATCATCCAGATCAGGGCTGTCCCAAAGGTGCTTTTCCAAAAGGCAATAGGATTTGCTTATGGTTTTTTTTCTTGAAAGCCTTTCACTTCTCATCCAAGCAGCTTCTTCCATTTTGACTGAATGGTAAGGAATAGAAAGACCAGGCCTTCAGAGTGCTAACGAGCAGACGACTACAAGGAATATAAATCCTTCTATTCCCCACCATTCAGTCAGAACTGAAGACGTTCCTCGGAAGAGAAGCGAAACGTTTTCAAGGAAAAAACCCAAGAAAGTCCAGTTGCCTTTTGAAAAGAACCTCTGGGGTTATTATCATGAGATATTTTAGGAATAACAATCCCTTCCATTTTTTGATCCTGAAGCTCCTTTGACTCCTCTAAGAACCCAGCAAACCCTGCCCCATTTTCTGCCATTTAGGAAAGTAAACCATGCTCCTTGCCCAATATGCTGGCCTATTTTGCCTGAACTGACCCATTCCTTGGAATCCCCCCTCTGAAGATAAGGTATGAGTCATGTGAAGCACCTGGTCACCCACCAGACCGCCAAGGAACATTACTAGAACCCGTCGCCCAGTTTTTTTTTAAAAGGCAACGTTTGAAATCAATGGTAACAAAAGGTATTGCATCCTGTCCATGCGCTACCTGCAATTCCAAGCAGTGTTTTTGCTTCTCAGAAATCTGATTTTTTAATGCTTGCTTTTCTTTGAGGAGATTTTCCAGTGAAAGTGTTGACCAGTCCAACTTCAGTTCTTCACATCTAGCTTTCAGCTGGAAGAATGCAGAAAAAGAACAGGGAGATATATTATTTGGGAAATGTTACATAATGCTGTCAAAACTAACCCCTTGTGCCATATAAATCTAAGTTATATTTCAGCTCTTGATATAAAATGTGATGTATTCCACATTAGATTATCAGTTCCACTGACAGCTTCTTCTGTCTGGCTGTCTTAGGTAGAGTCTGCTAGATAAGACACAGGTGACGGAAAAATTCCAAGAACTTCACCCTTTTTAAAGCACTGTGCTCTGCAACTGATTATAGGTCAGTTGGCTAAAAGTCGTCCAGCTACAGATTTTGGCTCACTCCTACGTACAAAGTTTCACACTAGCCCAGGGGTAGGCAACCTTGGCTCTTTTATGACTCGTGGACTTCAACTCCCAGAATTCCTGAGCCAGCCATGCTGAGGGGAAAGGGAGAGGTTTCCAAGCTGAGCCATGCTGGCTCAGGAATTCTGGGAGTTGAAGTCCACGAGTCATAAAAGAGCCAAGGTTGCCTACCCCTGCACTAGCCTGTTACATCTAACCCACCATAGTCTGTCTTCAACTGGGATCAAGTCTCCATGTTCCTGGAATCTCCTAAATGCAAAGCCTATTTTTTAATCACTAATCCCCCGGTCATTTCACAATCTTAACAGTTTTTGGAATAGACGCCCAGGGAGGATAATCATCTTAATTAACATTAACGGCAGGCAGAACTGGAATTTGTGGTTGATTTCAAAATGAGATAAAACTGTGGCCCGGTGCATCTAGGAATACGAACCAGCTGTAAACTCTGATTCCTGAGTTCACCATTATCTTTCTCCAGCTGTTTGGTCTGCTCTTTCAGCTGCTGGTTGTGAGCAGAAATTTCTTTCTGGGCCTGGATAAGATCCTTGTATGTCAGTGCCTTAACCCCCAGCTGCAAAGGAAAAAGGAGAGGACAGAATAGTTAGAACCACTATTTTTCCAACAACAAAAAGGCAATGATTGTGCTGAATATTAGAAACCCTGTCAGCTTTTTCAACTTTTTCTCAAGTTTTTTTTTAACTCATAATAGCGACAGATTATCACATTATTTGATGTATAGTACAACTGAACCAATCGGAAGAACTACAAGTATTCTATCATTGCTTTATTTTCCAAATAATTTACCTCTTTTAGTTAAGCCAGTTACACTAATACACTCTATTGTTTTAAGGACATGTTGCATAGCATTTGCCAATTTTAAAAGACTGGCACTGATATTATTTGAGACTGTATACAGTATGAGTTATTTTGAATTATAGAGTCGCCATGTATTCAAAACCATAAGTTTTGATCAGCATTTGTTCAGTGATTCCTTAGAACAGTGGTGGCAAACCTATGGCACGTGTGCCAGAGGCAGCACTCAGAGCCCTCTCTCAACAGAGGGCTGCCACCGCCGCCAGCAGCAGGTCCATCAGGCCGCCACCGCTGCCCAGAGCAGGAGCCCTGCCCAGCACAAAGGAGGCGAAGCAGCAACTAGCAAGCTTGAGTAGAGGTGGTAGAGCAGAGGTCACCAACCATTGTCGATTGGTGGACTGAAAGAAAAGGGAGGGGGAAGCATTTTACGCGCTGCAAATGGGGTGGGGCTAGTGCCTGCATGATACTCACTAGCCCTGCCCCGTTCTTGCATGGTGCAGCGCCTTGTATCTGCACCTTGCGGCGCGGCAGCGGCCATTTTTGCGCCTTGCAGCACGGTGGCCCATTTTTATGCCCTGGTTTTTGCATGCCAGAGGCAGCACTCAGAGGCGCCTCCCTGACCGAGGGCACCACAATCCTGATGCAGCCCTGGCACTTTGCAATAAATAAATGGGTTTTGGGTTGCAGTTTTGGCACTCGGTCTCTAAAAGGTTCGCCATCACTGCCTTAGAATCAACTGAGTTGTAATTATTATGTACTATTCAGTTTGGTGTAATGGCTAAAAGCACCATTCTAGAAATCAGGAGACTGTGAGTTCTAGTTCTGCTTTAGGCACAAAGCCATTTGGATGACTTCAGGCTACTTCAGCCCTAGAAGAAGGCAACAACAAACCACTTTCCAACATTTGCCAAGCAAACTGAAGGACGTGTCCACACATTTACCAGGACTGACTCAAAGATACCAATGAAACAAAAATTCTGTTTACACGGCAATAAAATAGAAAGGGCAACTAATACGGTGTCTTGGTATGCATAATGTCTTTGTACTACTGCATTAAGAGCTGCTCTTGATTTGTTTTTGCTTTTTTATTTTGCTCAGAACAACAAAATTTGATGTTATACATTGATTTCATTTCCCCCATCAAAAATACGTGAAGACTAAATCACTGGAAAAGCACCATCCAGATTAAAAGAACTCTATTCAAAACTGAGTGATTCCTCAAAAGTTATACTCAGCGAAGTCTTAAACTTACTTCGCGCCTACTTCAGGTACTAATTAATTTTCACGGTTTAAATTTTAGCCCAACATTATCACAATTGTTAGACACATGTTCTTAATGAAAGATAGCCCATAATTACACTCATGCCCCTTGAACTTTGGCAACTGAACTTCTGAAAATGTCCAATTCGTTACGTCCTTTATTTTCAGATTTGGACCAATTCCCAGTTAGGAATCCCTGTTAGGAATCAACTCTGCCTTTCTCCTTGGCTGGGGTGCAGTTCAAGCTGCTTTACAATCCACAGCATCAAAGCATGAAAAACCTTTCCCTTTTGCTCTGCAATCTGTACAGTAGCTCATTCCTCACTGTACCTCGGCCACCTTATGAGAAGGAAGGACTCACTGGAGAAGAGCCTGATGCTGGGAAAGATTGAGGGCAATAGAAGAAGGGGACGACAGAGAATGAGGTGGCTGGATGGAGTCACTGAAGCAGTAGGCGTGAGCTTAAATGGACTCCAGAAGATGGTAGAGGACAGGAAGGTCTGGAGCAGTGGTTCTCAACCTTTTTAATGCCGCGACCCCAACCGGTCGTAAGTCGAGGACTAAGCCGGTCGTAAGTCGAGGACTACCCAATTGGTCGTAAGTCGAGGACTTTCCCTGCCTGGGAGCGCCGCGCATGCGTGGTTCCGCCCCCTGCGCCGGCCGAGGCGTAGCTGGCAAGCGGCAGAGACGGAGCAGGCCGACCACCAGCTGGCCCAGCTCAAGGGAGGTAAGGCACCCGCCGGAAAAGAGGAAAAAAAATGGCGGACAGCCTTGCTTGGCGACTCCCGTGAAATGGTCGATCGACCCCAAATGGGGTCGCGACCCATAGGTTGAGAACCGCTGGTCTGGAGGAACGTTGTCCATGGGGTCGCGATGGGTCGGACATGACTTCGTAACTAACAACAACACTGTACCTCATCTAGCTTCTGCTGGAACAGTCGTTTGATTTCTTCTTTCTGAGCCTGGCAGTGAGTAAACAACTGCTGGGCCTTTCCCATTAACTGAGTATTCTTTTCCTAAGGAACAAAAAAGGGAAGGAAACACCGATACTTCAGAAAAGTAAATACAGGTAGTCCTCGACTTCCAACAGTTCATTTAATGACTGTTCAAAATTACAACAGCACTGAAAAAATTGTCACGGCCATTTTTCAGAGTTACAACCTTTGCAGCACCCCCATGATTACGGGATCAAAATTCAGATGCTTGGCACCTGGTTCATACTTACAACCACTGCTGTGTCCCAAGGTCATGTGGTCAACCTTTGCCACCTTTTGACAAGCAAAGTCAATGGGGAAGCCAGTTTCACTGAACAACTGGGTTACTAACTTATTAACTGCAGTGATTCACTTAACAACTGTGGCACGATAGGTCGTAAAATGGGGCAAAACTCACTTAACAAATGTCTCAGTTAACAGCAAACATTTTGGGCTCAATTGTGGTTGTAATTTGAGGACTACCTGTGTGTCATTCCTTGAAACATGACCTAACAGTATTACAAGCATATAGATACTATAGGCTGAGAAGGATCGGAGGGAGACAAATGTAATAAGATCAGAATCTTAGAAGCAGAATTGAAAAGGACTTTCTAGACTCAGTCGGAAGATCAACTCTGGAGTGACCTGATTCTATTGTCAGTTAATTGGCAGTCCTTTTTTTAAAAAAAAGCCTACCTTTTCCTGTTCCAATAACTGCTGAAGAGTTGCCTTATATTGATTTGTTTTCATATAAGCCATGAACTGCATGTACTGGATCTTAAAAGAGTCTGTAAGTGAAGGAGACAGAAAAAAACCAACATGAACAGCCTGCAAGCAGTATTCATACATCAATCTTTTGTACAACTTCAGCTTGTTTCATCTAAACTAGGAATACACAAACACCAAAATCTATTCCTTGATTACTAAAACTTCACACATTCCAGATCTTTAATTTAAAAGAAAATTTTCATGCTACTATTATTAAGTCAGAATCAGAAATTGTCAACAATCTCCTGCTAGTCACTCTGCAATCTATTAGTAGATCCAGATAAGCAATCTGTTGACCTCTGACCTGTTCTCTCCCTCCTTGTATTAAAAATAAACCTTATTTATACACAGAGGCTCTAGTGAAAGAACTTGTTTTTCTCCTGCTTTGTCTGGCAACTCCCAAGAGATATGCTGAAAGGTACTTTTCATATTCTGAATTTATCTGGAATAGGAGATAAGAAACAGAGATATGTATGTACTTTCAGTATGTAGTGATATGGTTATCATGAATCTTAAACACCCTGCCTTGTAGTGGACATACTAAACAGGCAAAAATCTGATTGGAATCTACAATAGTACAGCAAGGATTGATAACTCCTAATAACAAAATTTTTAAAATGACTTCATTAAGTTAAATCCTTAAAACAAAGAAAACCAGAATGGAGAGAAACAAAAAATGTTATTTAAAAAAATAGAAGTCGTTTTTTTATATAAAAGGAAATGTACATTCAGTTCAAGAAGTGAAAACAAATTCCAGGATCGGATTTCAGAGGACCCTTGTCCTTTGATTCTACAACCAAAGCTGTTTTCCTTCAGAGCTTCAGATGTCTACAACTGAATCTGTCAAACAATTTTGCACCGTTCTCCTTCTGGCAGGCTTCACATTACCTATTTTGGGTTTTCTTCAGTCACTCTTTCATCCCATTAATTAAGAAGGCAATGCCGCAGATTATTTTTTTATAGGTTGTGATGGAGATATGCAAGTGCATGAATTCACCCATGTGGGAAGGGGGATCCTGAAGCTTAGGTCAGTGATGGCGAACCTTTTAGAGACCGAGTGCCCAAACTGCAACCCCAAATCCACGTATGTATCATCGGGTGCCGGGTGGGCGTGGCCCATTGGGTGGGTGTGGCCCATTGGGTGGGCATGGCTTCAGTGGTAACGGCAGACTGGGTGGGACTAAAAAGTTCAATCAATCAATTCCAACTTTGCAAGATCTTTTTTTTCCCCGCAAAAAGTTGTAATTGATTGATTGATTGAACCTTTTTTTTTTTATTTTGCACATGGCGGTAGAGGCCTAAAGTGAAAAATTTTTATAAAACCCAGCTGAAGGCTAGGACTGGGCCGACGGTGCGCATGCCCACAGAGATGGCTCTGCATGCCACCTGTGGCATGCGTGCCATAGGTTCGCCACCACGGGCTTAGGTGAATCTTCAGAAAGTCTGGCAGGGGTCATAAAGATTTATTTAAAAAAAATAATTAAAACTGTGAGCAAGATCAGAGCACGCAGCCTTTTTTTTTTTTTTACACCTTCAGCAGATGCTGTGTCAAGAAATATGAACTGCCCAACAAAATGGGAGAAGGGCCCTTACCTAGCAGCTTCTGTAGTGCAGGTGGAGTAGGAGTAATCAAGAGCTGGTTGGACGAATGCCGTTGCACTTTAGGAGGTAGCTGGTAAAATGGACTATGAGGTGACCTGTATGCATCTGGGTGGAAAGAGAACATGAGTCCATTAAGCTTCTTTCTAGTGGAAGGAGTCCATCTGGCAGCCTGGGTGTGATGACCCAGGGCCCCGAACGGAGGCAAAGCAATTAGCTGGTCAGAACAACTGTCGTCTTTTTAAGCACTGCCAACGTTCACCCAACAGCCCCCACATATGCTGGCACAAGTTCAATAAAACAGTCAGGGAGGTTTACACGGTTCTTTAAAGTAAAACAGATAACAAGCAAAAACGCATAATCCTTTCAACTCCCAGCTTGCCTGTGAACTGCAAACTGCAAAACTGCAGACAGCAAGGAGAAATCAGCAGGAAGAAAACTTGGTCCAAAATACAAAGTGTCCAGGTACAAGAGCACACTATCACAAGAGTTCACGTTTGCTCCCGGCAAATGCCCCACCCCACAGCGTCTCCTTAAATCCTACTCCCCAGGTGTGCCTTGTGGAGTGGGGCGTGACGCTCTCCTCCCGAGCAAGTGAGCCTGCCTCCGTTGTTCCCTCCTCCTCTCTGCTCTCCTTGCTCTGGGATCTGGTGGGGAGGGGCCTTGCTCCTCGCCTGAGCTCTGCCTTCCCTGTTCCAAACTTGAAGGGCCCTGGCCTGCTTCAGCCTGCTCCTCCCCACAGTCCTCCAAAGCCACAGACACCCCCTCCTGGGCCTCAACAGGGAACTCCATGTAGTCCTCGGAGTCAGGCTCGGACGGAGGCATGACACTGGGATTATAGGTCCATCATTCCCATTTGATATAATTATTGACATGTGACATAATTTCTCCCAGTGTAGTTCAGTTTTAAAAATACATTATAGGCAGCACCCGACTTACGACCACAACTGAGCCCAAAATTTCCGCTACTAAGTGAGTTAAGTGACTTGCGCCCCATTTTACGTCCTTTTTTGCCACAATTGTTAAGTGAATCACTGCAGTCATTAAGTGAATCATGTGGTTGTTAAGTGAATCCAGCTTCGCCTTTTGACGGCTTGTTGGAAGCCAGTTGGGAAGATTGCAAATGGCGATCACGTGACCTCAGGGCAGGGCAACGATCATAAATACATGCCAATCGACAAGTGCCCAAATTTTGGTCATGTGACCATGGGGATGCCTCAACGGTCATAAACATGACAAATGGTCGTAAGCCACTTTTTTGCAGTGCCACTGTAACTTTGAAAAGTCACTAAATGAATGGTTGTAAGTCGAGGACTACCTGTACTATAACTACATCCAATCGCAGCAAAGATAAAAACCGATCAAGGGTGGGGATCTCAGCAGACTGGTCCTTGTCCATCTATGCTCAATTGGGCAAGTAAATTTCCCAATCAGTTCAAATACACCATTGAGGTCAAGTTTAACACATGGGCCATTCCCAGCAACTGAATTTCAAACTAACAGCTGCTTCAAATTCAAGAATAACATCTGAACAAAAACAAACTTAACAAATAAAATGCTACAGGTTCTTAGCACTGGTACATTTTAAGCTAAATTCCATTTGATATGCTAATTCCCTACGTGGAAGTCTGCATACCAATGGACCATATCCCCATTTATCTTGCAGTAAGATTATTGATAAAGAACCTAAGATCGGCCCACATTATAAAATTGTGTTCCTATAAGGCAGATATGTCAAACACAAGGCCCGGGGACTGGATGTGGCCCGCGAAGCCATCCTGGAAACATTGAGGGAACGGCCCCCGCTGCCTTGGCCCTGGCCCAGGCCAGCCGGGAGCCAATGTACAATTTTGTGGTGGCCATTTATGCTGAAATGTATTCAGTCTTAGCTCCACAAGGCCGTCTGGAAACAGCAAGGGACTGGCCCCTGCCGCATCAGTCCCGCCCCCTGGGTGCATGCTGGGGAGGTGTCACCCTTTTGAGGAATGAAGAAATGCACCATCACCTGGAAGTGGCCAGCAAATGGCCCTTGCCTATTTCACATATCCGGCTTCATGGGCTCCAGGGGAGGGGTTTCAGCAGGCTCTTCCAGTGGACTATGCCTTGGTGCTTGCCCTTGTCCCACCCCCTTCTGCCAGAGACCCTCAGATCTGTCCCACTCCTGCCCAGGCCCCCACAGGCACCCTTGACGCAAATGATGTAGAACTGGCCACGCCCACCCAGTAGGCCACACCCACTCCAGCTACGCCCATCCAGTAGGCCATGCCCATTCTGGCCACACCTCCCCCCCCCAGGACAACCGCAATGCTGATGCGGCCCTCAATGAAATTGAGTTTGACACCCCTGCTATAAGGGGATGATGCTGCACAATAGCTTTGAGTCAGATGGTTTTAAATCAATGTTTCTCAACCTCAGTAACTTTTAACTGTATGGCTGGCTGGGGAATTCTGGGAGCTGAAGTCCACGTAGTTAAAAGTCACTGAGATGGAGAAACACGGGCCTAAACTGACACAGAGAAGACCTTTTCCAAGGGGATTAGCATTCCCCAGCTGTAAGGCTTACCCTGAGGAGAGGATGAATTTGTTTGCGATACAGTTTGAGCATGGAGAAGGTCCAGCGCAGTTTGGTTCTTCTTGATCTTGCGCTCGGCATTCACCACGTTCATTTTCTTGGGGCGCCCACGCTTCCTACCAGCCATTTTCCTTCCTTTTTTGCTCAGCTTCTTCTTGCGTGCTTTGGAGGGAGATGGCTTTTTGACAGTGTTGGCCCCGAGGTTCTTGTCTTCTTCAGCACCATCGTCCTTTAGAAAGAAAGAAAGAGATAAGGCAACTTTTGAGAAAGGGAAAAAAAAAGGTTCTTTCTCCTTATGGAGAAGGATAGTCGAAAAGAACATCCCAAATTCAATCTTTAGTACAGGTAGTCCCTGACTTGGGCCTGGGCTCAATTGCAGTCGTAAGTCGAGGATTACCTGTACTACCAACAAGCAGAACTATAAAAGTTCTCTTTCTGAAGGAGACCCTTCAGAAAGAGCTGCCCTCAATCAGAGGAGACCAACTCGGCTAGAAGAAAATAGCATATTAATAATTGCCTTCCTGTATAAGCCTATTGTGCCATGGAAGGTTAGTATAACCTTTCCTCCCTGAGAGATGTGTAGCTTTTGTTTTTAAAGTAATCTCTACAGGAATCAGAGGTCAAACAGACAATTCAATATATGGCTTAGAGTAATTATCTATGAAACAGGGAACTGGGTGGCTTGACCTTTAAATGCAGCCTCTGTACAAATCCCAATCAATACCCCAATCGATTCTAAGCCTTACCCTTCTGAAGAATATATGATTGGGGAATACTGCTCTAAAGACACGCATAACGATGTTAAACTCCTCCATTCTCCATAGCAGGTACTGTAATACAGTAACTCCTAGAGCAGTGATGGCGAACCTTTTAGAGACCGAGTGCCCAAAAACTGGCCCCGCCCTCACTCCACCTCCCTGCTCCGCCCCCGCTTTGCCCCCCCATCCCCCACCCCGCCTGCCCGCAGGACCACTCACCGCCTCCAGGGCCCAGGCAGATCGCCCAGGCAGCCCAGCAGCGTTATGGCGGCCACACCCTCTGCCCGCGCCCTGCAGCATCAACTGCATGATGGGGTGTGAGGGCAGAGTCTTGTCTACGCTGCCTGGCTGCCATGTCCTTGGCTGCGCTGCTTCGTGTGGGCCGCGCTCGAGGGCGACTCTCCTTCAGGGGGGCTGCTGGTGAGGAGGGGGTTGCGGGGGGAGGCAAGGCTGGGGCAACGCACTTGTGCCTACAGAGAGGGCTCCGAGTGCCGCCTCTGGCACCCGTGCCATAGGTTTGCCACCACTGTCCTAGAGCTTCAAGTTGGCTGGCAATCAGGGCGTGCTCGCCACAAATGCAGGTGGTCCTTGACTTACAACCGTTCATTTAACAACCATTCCAAGCTACAATGGCAACTTACAATCGATCCTTGCACTTACGACCGTCACAGCATCCCACAGTCATGTGATCAAAATTCAGGGGCAACACGTATTTACAATGACTGAAGCATTCTGGGATCATGCAATCCCCTTCTGCAACCTTCCCTTTCCAACAAGCCAGGTTGATGTGGGATGCTGGATTCATTTAACAACCATGCAATTCACTTAAGCACTACAGTGATTCACTTGATAGCAGTGTTCCAATATCTCAGGGGCTGCCCCAAAGAAGAGGGAGTCAAGCTATTCTCCAAAGTGCCTGAAGGCAGGACAAGAAGCAACGGATGGAAACTAATCAAGGAGAGAAGCAACCTAGAACTAAGGAGAAACTTCCTGACAGCTAGAATAATTAACCAGTGGAACAACCTGCCTCCAGAAGTGGTGAATGCTCCAACACTGGAAGTTTTTAAGAAGAGACTGGACAGCCGTTTGTCTGAAATGGTGTAGGGTTCCTGCCTGGGCAGGGGGGTTGGACTCGATGACCTCCAAGATCCCTTCCAACTTTATTATTATTATTATTATTATTATTATTATTATTATTATTATTACTTGCAACAGTGATGAGAAAAGGTCGTAAAATGAGGTACGACTGACTTAACCACTGCTTTGCTTAGCAACTGTGTTCATAAGTCAAGGACAACCTGTACTGACTTACTGTTCCCCTCACCTATTCTGCCATCACAAATGGTGCCTTCTTCTCCTGTCTCTTTCTAGAGTATTTTATCAACCAAGTCACTATTCTACTGTTGGAACTCTGGAAGAGCTGCAATTTCATAGGAATGCTCGCTGTGCTAGGAGGAAGAACCCAGGAGCCATCCCCTGGCGTTCTTAGGTCTGAAATCCTGAAGGGTATCATCATTCGCCGTTGGCAACACAAAAATGTCTTAACACGCCTAAAGCAGTTTTATCATGTTTTCAAAATCACAATTTGAAAAAGACAACCAGGATAGGAGCCTACTTCTTACAGAAAGCAGATGACACAAGCAGCTATTAACTGAAATTTATCCACTGATCTGTATCATTTACTCCCTAATGAAGGTATTACTTTAATGCAGATTCTAGATTCTTTTCCGTAGAATTTTGTGTGTGTGTGTGTGTGTGTGATTTATATAGATTATCAGTAAATAGTGACATGTAAGGAAGCCTTAATGGAATCAGACCTTATTTTCTTGGACTTTTGTTGGAGTTGTTGTGTTACTCTTGTTTTCTCTTTGCTGTCGACGTCTAGCTGCCTCTTGTTCTTCCTGCAGAAAATAAAATAAAGGAAATAGTTGAGTGGGTGAAATACGTGCCCCAGATAATCAAGGGCAAGGGCTCTAGATCAGGGGTGTCAAACTCGCCTCGTCACGTGATGTGACCGTATCATAACTTTTTTCCCCTTGCCGAAGCTGGGGTGGGTGCGGCTTCCGCAGGACGGCAGTTTGACACCCCTGCTCTAGATTAATCTCTTACTGTTATTCAAGTATTTTTAGAATAGAAAATTGAATTAAATTGCATTCTTATGATCCGCCAACCAATACATTAGTTGCTAATCTTTACCCACTAAAAGTGACAGTCCTAGTCTTCTAAATCCAAAACATCTTAGTATTGTTTAATGAAATGCATAAATCTGTATTCACCAGTTGAAGATGACTTATATGCAAAAGTTATAAAAGTAATACTTTCCTATGTATCATTACTTTTAAAGGGTTAAGGGCATCTTTGTTTATCTTTCCTCCTGATTTTAAAATGAATGCTGGACTTCCGGTGGCAGGCTACTCCGTTGGACGCAGCTGTTGCTGCCTCCCGCCTGTTTCTGCGTAAAAGCCGTTTTGACAGCTTGCATCTGCTGTCAAACGGCTTGAAACCTTTCCCCTGGGCATAGGGGGATGGGTGAGCTGCCCGGGGTAGGAGTTGAGTTCCCGAGTCGTCCCAGGTGGACGATGTAGGTGANTAGATTACAGTTTCAGTTAATAAGTATTAATATAATTGATAATTACTGTTAATACAGGTGATAGAATTATCTTTGTTCATTGGGTAAAGTTTATTCATAATAAAATATTCTGGAAGGAGTATGCTAGATAAGATCACTCTTCTTTGTACAACAGAGCCTTCACTTAAACAAATGAATTTTTGAATCTATTTTAATGTGGGTTTTTTTTCTAACTGGCACCTGACACTAATCACTAACTATTCTCAGCCATCTTATGCACTCCTGCTTGCATTCTTGAAGTTAGCACTTTCTCTTAGCTTGTCAGTTCCTTTTACTTTAGTGGCCTAATTGGTTTTTTCCAAGTTTACATTGTGACCTGTTAAATCCTTTTGTAAATTGGAATTCAATCTAAGATCCTCCTAAATTCATCCTATCTCAGTTGAGAACAGCCGTGAATTAAAACAAAACAGTGGTTTGGTCAATTAATTTTGGTTCCAACCTTTCAATTGTAAACAAAAACTAAAATTTCCTATCTTCTTCCAGTCAGACTAAGACAGGAAATGAAAGGAAGCAATCCGTTAAACAAAGCACAGGTAGTCCTCAAGTTACAACCACAATTGGAACTAGAATTTTCTTTTCTAAGCAAGTTGGTTAAGTGAGTTGTGTCCACTTTTATAACCTTTTCTGCCATGGTTGTTGAGCAAATCTCTGCAACTGATCAGTGAATCACATACTGTATTCATTAAGCGAATCTGGATTCCTCCATTGACTTTGGTTGACGGAAGCTGGCTGGAAAGGGTGATCACATGACCCCGGGATCCTGCAATCGTTGTGAATACATGCTGGGTTGCCAGGTCCTCAACTGTGAGGATGCTACAACAGTTGTAAGTGCAAGGAGCAGTTATAAGTCACTTTTTGTAGTGCCACTGTAAATTCAAGCAATCACTTAAATGAATGATTGTAAAATGAGGATTACTTTTATGTTTCTGTTGCAGTTTATTGACATGAGAATTATATCTTTTTATTCCACTTTCAAATTCTTTAAGAAACTAGCATTAGAGTTAGGTTTAAATGTGATATAAAATGTTATTTGATGGGTTAAAAAGGCTTTAAAGATTTTTTCTGATTTAATGGTGAATGAAGGATGTGGATCTATTGTTATTATAGTTGATAAGTACTTGAGGGATTAGGGGGTAAAAAGACTTTATAGATGTAGATTGACGAAATGATAGAACAAAAAAATGATAGAAAAAAA